AGAGCCAGGCCGGGGCCACCGGAGAGCCAGGCCGTGGCCACCGGAGAGCCAGGCCGTGCCACCGAGAGCCAGCCGTGGCCACCGGAGAGCCAGGCCCGTGCCACCGGAGAGCCAGGCCGTGCCACCGGAGAGCCAGGCGTGCCACCAGCCAGAGAAGGCCGTGCCACCGGAGAGCCAGGCCGTGCCACCGGAGAGCCGGAGAGCCAGGCCGTGCCACCGGAAAGCCAGGCCGTGCCACCGGAGAGCCAGGCCTGCCACGGAGAGCCAGGCCGTGCCACCGGAGAGCCAGGCCGTGCACAGCCAACGTGCCACCGGAGAAGCCAGGCCGTGCACCGGAGAGCCAGGCCCGTGCCACCGGAAAGCCAGGCCGTGCCACCGGAGAGCCAGGCCGTGCCCACCCGGAGAGCCAGGCCGTGCCACCGGAGAGCCAGGCCGTGCACCGGAGAGCCAGGCCGTGCCACCGAGAGCCACCCGAGAGCCAGGCCGTGCCACCGGAGAGCCAGCCGTGCCACCGGAGAGCCAGGCCGTGCCACGGAGAGCAGGCCGTGCCACCGGAGAGCCAGGCCGTGCCACCGGAGAGCCAGGCCGGCCCGGAGAGCCAGGCCGTCCAAAGAGCCAGGCCGTGCCACCGGAGAGCCCGTGCCAGCCCGAGAGCCAGGCCGTGCCACCGGAGAGCCCAGGCCGTGCCACCGGAGAGCCAAGGCCGTGCCACGGAGAGCCAGCCGTGCCAGGAGAGCCAGGCGTGGCACCAGAGCCAGGCGTGCCACCGGAGAGCCAGGCCGTGCCACGGAGAGCCCAGGCCGTGCCACCGGAGAGCCAGGCCGTTGCCACCGGAGAGCCAGCCGTGCCACCGGAGAGCCAGGCCGTGCCACCGGAGACCAGCCGTGCCACCGGAGAGCCAGGCCGTGCCACCGGAGGAGCCAGGCCGTGCCACCGGAGAGCCAGGCAGTGCCACCACCGGAGAGCCAGGCGTGAGAGCCAGGCCGTGCCACCGGAGAGCCAGGCCGTGCACCGAGAGCCAGGGCCGTGCCACCGGAAAGCCAGGCCGTGCCACCGGAGAGCCAGGCCGTGCCACCGGAGAGCCACCACCGGAGAGCCAGGCCAGCCGCCCGTGCACCGGAGAGCCAGGCCGTGCCACCGGGAGAGCCAGGCCGTGCCACCGGAGAGCCAGCCGTGCCACCGGAGAGCACCAGACAGGCCGTGCCACCGGAGAGCCAGGCCGTGCCACCGGAGAGGCCGTGCCCAGCCAACCGTGCCACCGGAAGCCAGGCCGTGCCACCGGAGAGCCAGGCCGTGCCACCGAGAGCCAGGCGTGCCCACCGAGAGCCAGGCCGTGCCACCGAGAGCAGGCCGTGCCACCGGAGAGCCAGGCCGTGCCACCGGAGAGCCAGGCCGTGCCACCAGGAGAGCCAGGCCGTGCCACCGGAGAGCCCAGCCGTGCCACGGAGAGCCAGGCCGTGCCACCGGAGAGGCCGTGCCCCGGAAGCCAGACCGTGCCACCGGAAAAGCCAGGCCGTGCCACCGGAGAGCCAGGCCGTGCCATCGGAGAGCCAGCCGTGCCACCGGAGAGCCAGACCAGCCTGCCACCACCGGAGAGCCAGGCCGTGGCCACCGGGAGAGCCCAGGCCCAGCCAGGCCGTGCCCACCGGAGAGCCAGGCCGGTGCCACCGGAGAGCCAGGCCGTGCCACCGGAGAGCCAAGCCAGTGCCCACGGAGAGCCAGGCCGTGGGCACCGGAGAGCCAGACCGTGCACCGGAGAGCCAGGCCGTGCCACCAGGAGAGCCAGGCCGTGCCACCGGAAAAGCCAGACCGCCGTGCCACCGGAAAGCCAGGCCGTGCCACCAGAGCCAGCCAGCCGGAGAGCCGGCCGTGCCACCGGAGAGCCAGACCAGGCGTGCCACCGAGCCAGGCCGTGCCACCGGGAGAGCCAGGCGTGCACCGGAGAGAGCCAGGCCGTGCCACCGGAGAGCCAGGCCGTGCCACCGGAGAGCCAGGCCGTGCCATCGGAGAGCCAGGCCGTGCCACCGGAGAGCCAGGCCGTGCGGAGAGCCAGGCCGTGCCACGGAGAGCCAGCCGTGCCACCGGAGAGCCAGACCGTTGCCACCGGAGAGCCAGGCCGTGCCACCGGAGAGCCAGGCCGTGCCACCGGAAGCCAGGCCGTGCCACCGGAGAGCCAGGCCGTGCCACCGGAGAGCCAGCCGTGTGCGTGCACCGGAGAGCCAGGCCGTGCCACCGGAGAGCCAGGCCGTGCCATCCGGAGAGCCAGGGCCGTGCCACCGGAGAGCCAGGGCCGTGCCACCAGGAGAAGCCAGGCCGTGCCACCGGAGGCCAGCCGTGCCACCGGAGAGCCAGGCCGTGCCACCGGAGAGCCAGACCGTGCCACCGGAAAGCCAGGCCGTGCCACCGGAGAGCCAGGCCGTGCCACCGGAGAGCCAGACCGTGCCACCGGAGAGCCAGGCCGTGCCACCGGAGAGCCAACCGTGCCACCGGAGAGCCAGGCCGTGCCACCGAGAGCCAGGCCTGCCACCGGAGAGCCAGCCGTGCCACCGGCAGAGCAAGGCCAGGGCCGTGCCACCGGAGAGCCAGGCCGTGCCACCGGAGAGCCAGGCCGGCCACCGGAGAGCCAGGCCGTGCCACCGGAGAGCCAGGAAAGGCCAGGCCCGTGCCACCGGAGAGCCAGGCCGTGCCACCGGAGAGCCAGGAAAGCCAGGCCGTGCCACGGATGAGCGGTCACTCGCGGTCACGGGAAAGGTCGCCGAAGGTGTGAGAGAGAACGAGTGAGAGATAGGCCGACCCAGGTCAGCCTTATATATCCCTTGACCGCGGCACGGCTTCTATACTTAGAGAGCGTGCGTGGGGGGGGGGGTAGGGGGGGGGGCAGGCAGCGAGCGGGGTACGAACTGAGACCATGCGGGCCATGAGATATGAGAGAAAGAGAGAGAGAAAGCGAGAGAGAGAGAGTGAGAAAGAGAGAGAGACATAGAGAGAGAGAGAAAGGGACAGAGAGAGAGACATAGAGAGAAAGACACAGGAAAAAGAATAAAAAAAAAACAATCAAGACAAAAAAAAAAAAAAAAAAAAAAAAAAAAAAAAAAAAAGAAAGAGATAGAGAGAGAGAGAAAAAAAAATCACATCCCCCTACCATCGCATTTACTATGACCCGATGAAAGATGACACCCAAACCTATCCGCCTGGTGGTCGACCTTGAAGCCATCCGCAAGCTGTGCCACTGGGTAGAGGTCGCCTGTCACGCGGACTCGGGCTCTGAAGCTCCTCGGACGACAGTGTGTTCCCGGGCCTCGTAGGGGAAGGTCGCACGTTGTCAGGTCGGTGTGTGCGTTTGCGTTCGTGACGTATTATCGTGGTTAAAAATGAGGCTGTTTCGAGGACATAATAATAATAATAATCGTTATGAACAGCCGGTTTGCTAGAATTGTGCGAGGCCCGATCCAGAGAATATTCGTATACTTGACGTGCATAGATAAAGAAATAAATGCATGTTTATCAGGCTAGACATGCATATCAACCAGGCAAATAGATAGGTAAATGTATATCTATCAGATATATAGACAGATATGCCTTTATTTCTGCGTCTGTATTTATGAAAATTCATTGGGTCGGGCCTTCCACAATTTTAACAAACCGGCCATACGTATTATTATTATTATTATCATTATTATTATTATTATTATTATTATTATTATTTTTTTTTTTTAAAGATGAGTATGGTTTAGGTGATTTTCGTGTTGTGTTATTTGGCCAAAGGTACAGAGGTCTTTCGCTATTAGTGTATAACGTTTGCTAAACCGTAGAACGAATGTCAGAGGAAAAATGACTAACAACAACAACTCCAGCGCACGTAATAAATTTTTTTGGGACCTGGCAAACTCTTCATTATCTTTAGGACTGAATCAATTTGTTTGGTGTAGATGGTGATGATGAGGATAATGATAATGAATGATAATATTCTTACTGATGTTCAAGATAATTAATTTAATAATAATAATATCAACGATGATGAAAATGATAAGAATAATAACACTGATAATGATAGAAACAACAACAAAAATGTTAATGAAAATGATAATGACATTAATAATAATAATATTGACTAATTATAATGATCCTCCTTGCCCCTGTGTCAGCGATTTTCACCCTTCCGCGCTCCTAGACGACAGAACTGCGTGTCACGTGACCACCGCGTTAGCCTTTTCATACTGCAATCATTTTAGGCTTGTTCTTTTCTTTGAACTTAATTAATCTATTAAACATGCTTATTTTATAATGAATCTATTTCATGAGTCATATAAGAAAAAAAATAAATGTAAAGAATGCGCATATAAATTAATAGTGTCAACTAGGATAGGCCTACAGATAACAGATATCTTTATAATCGCAGCAGAAGAAGCGTTCACGACAGACGAACGTAACCGATTTGAATTTCAAAATTTCAACGTTTTCTGTGAACGGTGAACTCCCTTATTCCGCCCACGACTAAACTAAATATTATAATTAGCGTTATTATCATTGCTAGTATTGAAATGAAAAAGAAAATAGAATGAAGACAAAAAGAAAATATATAAATGATAAGAATTCACTCTTATCTCTCTCTTTACGCCCCTTCCCCCCTTCTCCCCTTCATCCATAACTTCTCCCACTTCCTTTAATACCATTGCCTCCTCTCCCTCTCCCATTCCCTCTTTTGACATCGAGTCCTCTCTATTCCCCCTTCCTTTCTCTTTACCTTTCTCACTTTTCCATTCCCCCTTCCTTTCTCTTTACCTTTCCTCTCTAAGCTGCCTTTGTTTCCTCCTCCTCATCTCCATTTTATCTTTAATCCTCCTTCCTCTCCTTTTCTTCTCCTTCTAAACATCCCCACTCGAATATTATTAATAATAAATTGTCTACCTACTTCTACCTAATTTTCTGACTACTTCAATGTAGCGTACTTGCCTCGACAAAGAGTGATGAGGTTAATAATGATAACAACGATATGAAATGTAATGATAATGGCAATAATAGAGTTAGAATAGGATCCTCACAAAACCACACTATAATCCGTGTGCGTGATTGTGTGTGTCACTTCATGTTGTCAAAACCACCCCACAGTCAGCGAAATTAATTGACTCGAAGTCCTCAGTCACTCTATTGATATTACTGGTCGATTGACTACTCTATTAAATATATAATTGTTGATCGTCATTTGCAGTTACGTAATACTAAAGATGGGTGAAGTAAACCCAAAAACGTTTAGAATAATTATAGTTCTGTTCAGTTGAAATAAAGAAATTCAACACTTATTTTGTCCCCAGAACAGGGTACCATGCGGACCCAAACCCCCAACCTAACCTTTCCTACCTTCTCTTTATTCTCTAGACAGGAGGACAAACCCCCCCCCCCATGTACCCTTCTTTATTGACATTTCGTGCCAACTTCTGGAATACGGACATTAAGAACTCTGGCTATGAGGGTGTTGTAGTGTTGCGAATATTTTCGTCATTTCGAGGTTAATATAAGGCTCTTGTTGCTTAAACTAAAGCAGAAAATATGTTTGTTTTATATGTTATATCTATCTATCTATCTATCTATCTATCTATATATATGTACGCATCTATATATAGTATATATACGAATACACACACACACACAAAATGATTTTGTACCCTATAGCAAAAGTCTCGTTTTACTGACAGTATTGTCCTCAGCAAAATAGCGAAAGCCCTTCGACATATTCTTGTTTATCTTGAACTTCCCTTCGTTGTTCAACTTGCTGCTAATTGTTTATTACACAAAAACCTGTACATTTCACGCAAGACGGAAAATTGACTGATAATCGGCCTGGCTCGTACGTCTGGCAGTGTATCTACGATGCCAGTACTGGAATAAACACTAATAAGTTAGTAAGTTCTCTGAATCGGCCAGGAGAGGGCTTATGATAGGCTGTCCACTTGAACAACTATTAGGTCCAATTTAGCGACACTTAAACTCTCCAAGCAAACGAAACCAGATCTCATAACCGAGCTAGTTTAAGTAACAAATATTACTTAATTTTCAGGCTTTTATTTCAAATTTCCAGAATGGGGTCCCGTCGACTTGCGCATCCCGCCCTTCCTCTGTTGTTCCTGGTCTCCTGTCTCGGCCATTTGACGGAGGTTAGAATCTTGTTAATTGATGTTTTACCAGTTTATCAAACCCATTAATCAAGGAACATTTTCCCCTTGATTGTGTTAAATTAAAACTGCTTATCTGTTTTCTTATATTTTCTTCGGATTATACTATTTTCCTGCCAGACTTCAAGGAAGATTTTCAGTGACCAAAAAAAGGGGAAAAAGAGTTCCTGAAGTAACTATAAACAAACGGAGAAAACAAAAAAAAAAAAAAAAAACGAACTTGTGTTTGTCTCTAATTGAATATATAAGAAGCTCAAACCATTCCTACCACAACCATCCTAATAAAAAAAGAAAAGAAAAAAAAAATCAAGCTATCAATACACAATCGTCTACACCATCAACCACATCAAACTACAACAGCCAACCACAACCACGAGACTCAAACTACAACAAAAAAAAACAACACAACAAAAACAAACCACCACAACCATCCCCACCCACGTCAATAAAAAAACCCACCCACCCACAACCACCCCACCGAGTCACTCCTCCTTCCCTCCTCCTTCCCCTCCTCCAGGCCCAACCTCCCGGGGCCGTGACCAGCTTCAAGATCTCCGGCAGGATCCAGTCACGATATGCGGTCACTCACGTCACGTCGCAGATGAAGAACCCTTCCTCGGCCGCCGCGGAACTCAAGTTCAAGATGCAGCTTCCCAAGACGGCCTTCATCTCCTCCTTCATCATGTTCGTAGACACACCCACGTGCGGTTTGAGAGAATATAGGAATAATATATGTATAATATAATATATATATATATATATATATATATATATATATATATATATATATATATATATATATATATATATATATATATATACGATATAATATGCATATGCATATGCATATACATACATATGTAATGTATGTATGTATATATATATAATATATATATATTATAATAATATATTATATATATATATATATTATATGTATATATACTATATATATATTGTGGGTGTGTGTGTGTGTGTGTGTGTGTGTGTGTGGTGTGTGTGTGTGTGTGTGGTGTGTGTGGGTGTGTGTGTGTGTGTGTGTGTGTGTGTGGTGGATACTATATATAATATATTATATTATATAATTATATTATATTATTATATATAATAATTATATATATTATATATATATATATATATATATATATATATATATATATATATATATATATTATATATATATATATATATAATACTATATATATATATATATATATATATATATATATTATATATATATATATATATATATATATATATATATATATATATATAATTATACATAATATATTATATATATATATATATATATATATATATATATATATATATATATATATATAAATATATATATGTATACATATATATATACTATATATATATATATATATATATAATATATATATATATATATATATATATATATATTACACATACATAATATATATATATATATATATATATATATATATAATATAATATTAACATATACATATATATATAAGATTATAAAAAGAAAATCCCCCCGACGATAAAAACCCTCGTTCTTCCTCGCAGGGAGATCGAAGGCCAATTACTAACCAGCACAGTGAAGGAGAAGGAGGCGGCAAAAGAGAACCTACACGTCAGCCAAGAAGCGAGGAAATCAACCGGCCTTTGCTGGAGAGCGGGTGAGGAAAACGAGGGGGAATTGAGGGGAAGGGGAAAAGCTTAGAGGGGAGAGGGGGGGATTGAGGGAGGGGAAAGCCTCAGAGGGGAGGGAAAGCTCAGAGGTGAGAGGGGGGGGGATTGAGGGGAGGAGGGGAATTGAGGGGAGGGGAAAGCTCAGAGGGGGGGAGGGGAGGGAGGGGGAAATGAGGGGAGGGGAAAGCTCAGAGGGGGGAGGGGGAATTGAGGGGAGGGGGAAAGCTCAGAGGGGGGAGGGGGAGGGGAGGGGGCAATTGAGGGGAGGGAAAGCTCAGAGGGGGGGAGGGGGGAATTGAGGGGGAGGGGAAAGATCAGAGGGGGGAGGGGAAGGGGGAATTGAGGGGAGGGGAAGGGAAAGCCTCAGAGGGGAGAGGGGATTGAGGGGAGGGGGAGAAGGCTCAGAGATGGAGAGGGGGGGGATGAGGGGAGGGGGGAATGAGGGGAGGGGAAACCTCAGAGGGGGGAAGGGAGGGGGGATTTTGAGGGAAGGGAAAGCTCAGAGGGGGGGAGCGGGGGAATTCAGGGAAGGGAAAGCTCAGAGGGGAGGGGGAGGGGAATCAGGGGAGGGAAAGTCAGAGGTGGGGGGAGGGGGGAATTGAGGGGAGGGAAAGCTCAGAGGGGAGGGGGAGGGGGCGGGATATGTAGCGGGAAGGGAAACTCAGAGGTGAGAGAGGCGGGAGGAGGCAGTGGGGGGGGACAGGAGAAGGGGAAAGCTCAGAGGGGAGAGGGGGAGGGGGGAATTGAGGGGGGAAAGCTCAGAAGGGGGGGGAGGGGGAGGGGAAAGCTGCCAGTGAGGAAAGCAAAGGTGAGCGCAATATAGAGAGCTAGCTAAACGCGCACTCAGAGAGAGAGAGAGAGGGGGGGAGGGAGGGAGAGCAGGGAGGGAGGAGAAAGGGAAGAAATAGAGGAGAGAGAAAGAAATAGAGAGAGAGAGAGAGAGACGAGAGAACGAAGAGAGAGAGAGAGAGAGAGGAAAAGAGAGAAAAGAGAAAGAAATAGAGAGAAAGATAAAGAAATAGAGAAAGAGAGAGAGAGAAAAGAAAAGAAAAAAAAACCGTCTCAGCAGACCCCACAACCCCCCCCCCCCCCGACAGGAAAGACGACCCCTCTTCGAGATCAAGCACCAACGTGGACCGGAGGGACACGTCATCTTCTACCTCACCTACGAGGACTGCTGCCGTCGGGGAAAAGAGGGATACCTGTATTCCGTGTACATCCGACCGGGCCATGTAAGTCCTGAGATCATTTTAAACGCGTTAACAGCACGGCGTTTATATCTCGTGGAGACGCGAAAGGAAGAGGAGAAGGAGAGGAAAGGAGAGGGAGAGGGGGAGGGGGGGGGAGGGGGGAGAGAGAGAGGGGGAGGGAGAGGGAGAGGGGGGAGGGGGAGGAGGGGGAGAGAGGGAGATAGGAGAGAGGGGGGAGGGGGAGGGAAGAAGAGGGGGAGGGGAAGAGGGAGAAGGGGGGGGAAGGGGGAGAGGGAAGGAAGGGGAGAGAGGGGGAGGGGAGAGGAGAGGGGAAGGAGGGCAGAGGGAGAGAGGGGAGTAGGAGGAGAGGAGACGAGGGGAGAGGAAGGAGAAGGAGAGGCGAGAGAGGAGAGAGAGGGTGGCGGGAGAGGGAGAGGAAGGAGAGGGAGAGGGGGAGGGGGAGAGAGAGGGGGAGGGGGAGAGGAGAGAGGGGGGGGGAGGGGGGGGAGGGGGAGGGAGAGGGAAGGGAGAGGGAGAGGGAGAGGGAGGGAGAGGGAGAGGGAGAGGAGGAGAGGGAGAGGGGAAGAGGGAGAGGGAGAGGGAGAGGAGAGAGAGAGAGAGAGAGAGAGAGAGAGAGAGAAGAAGAGAGAGAGGGGGGAGATGGAGAGAGGAGAGAGGGAGATGGGAGAGAGAAGAGGGAGAGTTTGCGAGAATTGTTTTTTTCAATGGCTAGTTCCTTATTGGGTTCTCGTCCGGACGTCCTTGTCCCTTCTCTCTGAGCTGTGCATTCCGACTGGCATTCCGACATCCGCATAACGGGGTCAACGTCGGGAAGGAACTGGCCACGATAAACGCATCCTCCCGTGTCTCAGTACGCATATTCCTCTACGAACCCCCCCCCCCACGTCCACTTAGACATCGGAACAGATTGCAACAGGAACAACGAAGGGAAGAGCAAGA